TGCGTCGATCGGTGCACCAGCATGCCTGGCCATGCTCGTGGAGGCCGGCGATAAAACCCTCAGGATAGAGCGCGTGGTGGGCCGCCAAAAGGCCGAGACCTTCCGGGAAAAACAGTGGCAGCCACCTCGCAAAAGTTAAGGCAAGGCCCAAGGCAAAGGACGGACCGATGCTGGCAGCCCCGAACCGGCGGACAACGCTGAAGCTATGGCCGTTGATGGCGATGAGCAGGAGGAGCCTGGCAAAGCTGATGCCACCTGCGAGGGCCGGGGGCCTTCTGCAGCCGAAGCTGTAGACAAGCAGCCGGCCCCGACTGCCGGCGAAGCCGCCACAGGTGAAGGCACTGATCGAGGGCCAAAACCCAGTCCAGCACCAAAGCGCCAGCGTGTTGCGCAGTGGGAGGAAATCGATTGTGGGGCGGCGGGGCACTGCTTCTACAACTGTGTCACCGCGGGCTTCGTCCTCAAGACCACGCGGACCGCCTTCGAGGACATCAAAGGTGGCTTAAATGCCAAGGGGCGTGGCCTGCGCAGCCGCGTGGCCTCCTACATTCAAGGGCACGAGGAGCGGTTCAAGCCGTACTTTGAGCCTAGCTGTGTGAGCCCCGACTCGGCCGACCCGGAAGCCGAGGCGGCTCACCTTCTCATAGTTGCGGATGGAACCCCCCCAGCCACATGGCAGCAGTACCTAGAGGCTATCTGGCGGCCTGCCAGATGGGCCGATGAAATCAGTTTTCGGGCGGCTGCTGCCTTGCTGGGAATTTCCTTGCAGCTGGTGTGCGGTAGTTTGGATAAGCCTGAACAGGTGCTTTCCTATGTTAACCCTAAGTCGGCAATTACCCTCTACCTGCGATACTCCCTTGGGCACTACACTCTCCTTCTTCCGAGGGGAGACAAGTTGCCTGACTACATCCGCCAGGAGGCCGTTGCACAAACTGCCTCTCAGACTTTTGCCCCCCGCGGGGGAGGCAAACGGCAGCTAAGCACTGTGTGCCTTGGCCTTGGCGCCATGGATGATTCCTGGATCCCTGCACATGTCTCCTCCGAGGAAGAGGGTGCACCACGGAAACCTGCCACATGCCCTGACAAGCCAAGGCCATCACCCGCCGGGAGCATGGGCCAACGTACTCATCATGCCGGCTCAGCCAAGAGCCAGCCATGGCAACGCAATGACAAAGGCAAGCGCCGGTCCTGCCAACTCGCAAAGCAGCGCAGCCAGCGCATGAAGGGCATCTCCCTTGCAGTCAGCAAGGCCCGCCAAAAGCACTGCACGGTCGGCCGACGCAAGCAGTGGACTTGCAATGTCTGTGACGTGGTGGTCAAAGCAGGTTCCATGAGACAGCTCTCGATAGGCCGATATGGACACATCAAGCGAGTGCATCCGCGAGTGCCGCTCGACCGGTTCACTGACGTCCGGGCGTTCATTCCGGTGACGCCGACCGTCTTGGACTTGGACCAGCCTGCCTGGATGTGCGCATGGTGTCACACTTTCTTGCCAAGATTGGACACACCGTATGCTTTGACCAAGTCAGCCAAAGCCCATCTTCAGTGCTGTGACCTCGCTCCCGATGGGGTCACCCTGTCACAAAACCTCAGGGAAATATTGACGGCTGAAGGCATCGAGCCTCCGGCCCGGGCTGCCGATCTGTGCCAGACCTTTGGGAGGAAGATAGACCTTGGGCAATACAGGCCGGCCGCCAAGGAGCTCAAGGAACTGACTGCAGAGCGCCAGCGGGATACCTCACTGCCAGTGCGCCGCGCCCTGGCGAGCCGGCGCTGCGTCATGGGCGGCAGCCAGCAAGCACAGGACAAGAAGGGGCGGGGCGCTTCCCAGGCGTCAGCCTCAAGCGCCCCCGGCGAGGCGAAAGGCCATTTCCACCACGCCCTGCGGCCTGCATCGAGGGGAATGGCTCCAAGCAAAGACCTCACCACGGAAGCCAGTCATCGATTTCGTGTGGCGCTCAAGCCCCCTCCTCAGGACGGCGGCTGGGTGCGAGACCTTACGGCCGAGAACATCGAGCCCAACCCCGGGCCATCCACAACTGCCTCCCGAAGGCTGAGTGTGACCACCTGGAATGCACAGGGTCACCGCAACATTTTCGAAGCTTTGGCGGTCATGCTCTTTCGCGGAGCTGACGTGGTCTTGCTGCAAGAGGTCAACCTCTCGGTCGAGAAGCGCAAGGAGATCATCATTGCAGCCTCTGCCAGGGGATATCACTCGTTTTTCTCCGAGTCCACGGCCGGCACCGACAGCACGGGTCGGGAACTGCACCGAGGAGGCCTCGCCGTGCTGGCAAGGCAAGAGCTACCCGCTCGACAGGTGGGGAATGCAAGGGTCAACGGCGTCTTTGAGACTCTGTGTGTGCGGCTTGGATGCTTTGGCCTCCTTGTCAACTGCCACCTCAAGCCGCGAGGGGATTGGCAACAGTGCAGGGTACACTTGGAAGAGCTCCAACAATCTGAGGACCATGTGCTGCTTGGGGGTGACTTCAACCTTCTCCCCACCGAGGTGCAAGTTGCCGGTATGGGCCACCCTACGGCGCCCCGCGACAGCCAAGGACACTACAAGCCCACTCGGGTCGACGGGCATCGTTGCATCGACTTTTTCCTCGGCAAGAGTGTTGACCTAGCCGAGGCCCAGTGTGACTGCGAAACGTTGAGCGACCATTTGCCTGTCAGTGTTGCCATCACTGTGCCTTGTGAGACACGGGAGCAGCTCCTTCAGCTGCGCCCCACCACCTTTTACGGGTTACCTCGAGAAGCCACTGCTGAGGAGTTCACCCAGGGGCAACACGAGTTTTGGCAGCAGCAACCAATGCTGCCGGACCAGGGTGACACCGAAGCTGAGTGGCAGTGGTTCTGCCAAACAGCCGAACAAGCCTGCCGGCACGCCACTGCCAAGTACGAGAGCATCCGCGATCCCCCTCACCGCCGGCCCAAAGGATCCGGGTATAGCACCATTGATCGTGCTGCCATCAACCGAGGCGGCTCTGAGGCACATGCTTTTCAGATGCGTAGGCTGCTCAAGCTGCAGGGGAGAGTACGTGAGTGGCAGAGGCAAGCACGCCTCGGCACTGACACCACGGTGCTCAAAACTTGCGTGCGGCGCACTTGGCTGCAGCAGTGCGGCGAGCTCCCTGAGTCCCCTGCTGAGGCGGAACATGCCATCACTGCCAGCGTTGCCGAGGTCCAGGCCACTCAAGCCCGGGAAGCCATCCACAGATGGCAGCAAAGCTTGGCCACGCGCGGCAAAGAAGCTACCCGTTGGCTTAAAGGCAAAAAACGCCGCATTACTGGCGTCACCGGCACGGTACCAGGGCAACCTCAGGGGGTGCTCTCGACAGCTGCCAGCCTCGAGCACATCCATGCCTTCTGGATGAAGATCTGGGAACGACCCGGGGTGCAGCACAGCCAGGCTCTGCAAGCTTGGCGTAGGCACGGGCTGCATAGACGGTGCGACTTTCTGGCCTCACAGGTGTGGAAGCCAGAGGCCTTGCAACGTGCCGCTGCCGCCAAAGCTAGTTCGGCTCACGGCGTTGACGGCTGGAGGGGCGATGAGGTCAAGTATTGGCCTAAAGCCGCGTGGACCGTCTACTCCACTCTCCTGTGTCGCTGGGCCGCTCGAGGGCGGTTTCCTGCGGCTTGGCAGGCCATGCGGCAGGTCCAGGTGCCCAAAGCTGAGGCGAACGACCTCACAGGTGAGATCGCGGCCAGTGACCTACGGCCGATCGTTGTGATGTCGATCTTGTGGCGAATTGCTTCCTCGACGGTGGCATCCAGCCCCCAAGTTCAGGCCTGGCAGCAAGAGGTTCTCACTCCTGAACAATTTGGCGGCGTGCATGGCAGGCATATCCACCACGGCATTGGCAAGCTCGCTGGCCCACATGCTCGCGGCCTGCCACTCACCAGCTTGGATTATGCAAAGTGCTTCGACTATGTGCACCCACAGCTTGCTTGCGACGTGCTGGCAGCAGCAGGCTTCCCGCCAGTTGTTGTCCGGATGCTTAGGCATACCTGGACCCAGACCCGGTACCTCGAGTTAAACGGCTGCGCTCAGGTCAGTGGACACAAGGTCGAGGCCTCGCTCCCCCAAGGCGACGGCCTTGCGCCCTTGCCCTCAACGTGTTGATGTCAGCGCCAAGCCGCCAGATTGCCGACAGGTTTGGGGATAGGCTCCAGCAATGCATCTTCCTCGACGACAGAGCATTCACTACCGAGGCCCGCCTGGTCCCGGAAGTCCTACAAGCTTGGCAGTGGTGGTCAGAGCAGTTTGGCCTTCGGGAAAACAGCGGCAAACGGGCCATCGTGTGCAGCCGAGGCCCCGCCGTGGAAGCACTGCGCAGGGACGGCCTAGGCCAGTGGCTCAAGGACTTCACTTCGAGCCCAGCGGTGCCACGCGTCACCAGCGCCAGCCGCTTCGCCGAAGCGCTGAGGCTCGGCCGGAAGCTGCTCGCCAGGAGCATAGCTTTGGATGTCCGTCGTGACCTCTGGAGAACGCGAGTGGTGCCATTAGCCGCATGGGGCCACCTTTTCACGGCGCCGGCCCAGGAGGACCTGAAAGAGTTCCGTACGCTCGGCAAAGCTGTCCTCTACAGCCACAGGGCAGCAAGCGTGCGCCTTCAGCGCTTGCTTGAGGGACACAACATGGACCTCGCGTTTCAGTCAGGCATGCATGCGCTCCGGAGCCTTCACTCTAGCCTGCTCTGGAAGGACGTGGCGCGAGCCCAGGGTTTAGGCACCTGGTTCAGTAGGGTTCGGGGCTTCCTTGTGGACATGGGCTGGCACCCCGAGAGCTCCACTGTTTTCACTTCTGGTCAGGCCCGTCTGGACTTCGAAGGGGACAGAGCAAGTTCCATTGCCCACCGCATCAGGGCGCAGTGGAGAAGCCAGCTCCTCGAGCAATTCCGCGCCTCCGGGCGGAGGGACGCTACACAGCTGGCAGGATGGAGGCCTGGAACTGCTTCGGTGCGCTTGGCGATCAAGCTCTACCAAGCCGCGCCTGCTGAGAGAAAAGCGGTGCTGAGCGGCGCTGCTTGCAGCACGGCCTACTACCAAAAACGCCAGACTGGTGGTGCGGCCCAGCAGTGTGTTTGGTGTGGAGCAGCGGTGGCTGCCGACTGGGAACATCTGGCATGGCAATGCAGTGCTATGCTCGACGGTGCTGAACGACCTGCAAGGCCCACTGAGGCTGCTACCCGATGCTTAGGGTGGCCTTTGGCTACGGACACCATGGACCAAGCTGCAGCTCGACTTCGGTGGCTCGCAGCTGTCCGGGAACGAGTGCGTGAGTACCTGAGGTGATTACCCCGGGCACCTGGTGGCATCTCCTGGTGCCTGCTGACATGTTTGGCCTTGGCCATCCCTAGGCTGCTGCCGCAGCGTGAAGCGATGCATGTTCGGGATCTCCTTTCCAGCATGCCTGTTGTGACACCCTCTCCGAGGGGCCACGGTCCTGTGTCCTCGGGCGCAGTGGCCAACCAAGCCTCACACACGATGATGACGGTTCTCGACGCCGCGTTGTCAAGGACGATGACAAGGACTCCCGTCGTCGCAAGGGTGACGATGATGACGGCTGCTGGCATGGAAGTACCTCCACGTGGTGCCAGCGGGCCTCCAATAGGGAGGAGCAGAACTTCACCGACATGATCATGATCAAAAAGAAGGCCAGTGAATTTAGCAGCATAGGTTCCGGGGAACCAAGCTGCTACTTACAATTCGAAGAATGGCGAGGCGATCAACGGCCAAGGACGAGGTGGAGAAAACGATTGATGACTCGTGTGCCTCTACTTCGGAGGGGACCAACTTCTGCTGTGTATGGTTTCATGAGCTGCTGGGGCTTTGGGTGGCCGAGCAGTGGAGACTTAGCATGGCTGTGGCAGTGCATTTTCGATGTTTTGCTGGTTTCTGTCTTGGGTGATGCTGGGGCATGGGACAGGGAGCCAGAGACGCCGAAGCACGGTATATGCAGGACCCGACTTCGCTGGCCTCGGGGTCAGAGGAGCTGGTCGAAACTTGGTTTGAAGAAGAGGCTGCATGCTCGGCGCGCTAGGAGTAAACGCCGTCGAGGCCCAAAGATCAAGGAGCCACCGCCTTTGAGCTGGAGAATCGTTGCATTCGCATGCCGATGGGTTGAAGGGGCAAGACGGCCTGCCGCAAGAAGAGGCCGAGGCCTCCATGCGAGGAGACGTCACAGTGGGAGGATTCGGTGGGCACTGTGGGTGCATGTCACTGGATCCGATTCCATCGGTTGTGGAGAAAGCCCAGAGGGCAATCCTGGGCGGGATGATGTTGGTGCCGGCGGGGGATTTGGCAGCAACTCAGAGCCAGCACCCATGGACCATTTTGGCCAGGGTGAACCCATAGGTTGTGTTACAGTCACAGCAGGCTGCACTCAGGAGGTGTGCGCCGGGTGTGGAGAATGCTCGGATGGCCAACCCGGGCGGGATGCGGATGGTGCCGGTGGTGGACTCGGCAACTGCCCGCAGCGAGCGTGCAAGGGCCATTTTGGCCGGAGTGACAGCGATACTGAGGCATCTGCAGCGCGGGGCTCAGATTTTTCCTCTTTTAGTTTTGGTACAACGTGGGATGCAGAAGCAAAGTCGGCATCGTCGCGTGGCGTCAGTGTGAAACAGCGAGTTGAGGGGAAACAAGCCGGGGAACATTGCACATGTGAACCGTTGCTAGATCCCTCTCCTAAATTAGTTTGTGCAGCTAGTGTGTCTAGTCAGAGCCAGAGACTCCGGACTGGGTGTGGAGAAGGCCCGGACGGCCAACCTGGGCGGGACGGATGGGCGGAGGAAATTGAGATCCTGCGCGCAAGCTTGGTGCGGGCCGACGGCTCACTTCTTCCGGCCACGCACAACGTGGCAGCCCCGCGCGGCGGGGGTAGAGATGAAGGGGCCTTCCTGCAAGCGCTCCAGCAGCTGGTGGCAACGTTTTGCGTTGACGGGGCACCAGCCGATGCAAAAGGTAAGGGCAGGCAGGCGCAACCAGGCGGCAAAGGCCCGGCCGCCAGGTCCTCCGAAAGGCGCAGGCAAGGCCGGCAAAGACAAGGGCAAAGGGGAAGGCAAGCCAGCCGCGGGCAGCATTGACGAGAAGCAACTGCTGGCCGCGATCACTAGGCTGGTCGGCCGGGCCTCTGTGCAAGGCCCAACCGGCTTGTGTCACAGGCTGTGCAGCGTCATTGAATCAGCTAAGGCTGGGCGCTCCTTAAAAAGCGGCAGGGCCGAAAGACGGCAAAAAGCCAAAGCTAAGAAGCAGCAGGCCATGGCTGAAGCTAGTGCCGTCAAGCAGTCCTTTTACACCAGCCGGGCCACACAATCCAAGGCAGCAGGTGATAGCAAGGCACAAGGTCAGGTAGGCTGGCAGGTGGACAGGTCGGTGCAGGCCATCACTGCCGGCGAAGCCCGACGGCGCATCCAAGAGCAACTCCCCCTGTAGGTGGAGCACATTCTTGTCAAGAATCCTGATCAAGCCACAGCCCTGCGGGACATGGCCAGGGTCAACGAGGTCCAAGGCAAGGTTGCCCTTCTCTGCCCAGGCGAGCTCGGCGAGGCAGCTAAGAAGTGCGACGTCACTTGTGTCAAGGGTGAACGCAGGGAGGTGAAGCAGTGGCACGCCGTGCCACTCACGCGGGAGGGCTGCCCTGAGCCTCCCGTGGTGAGGCGGCAGTCGTCATTCAAGCCGCCCGCCCGAGACCTCCAGACACTGCGAGTGCAAGCGGCCAAGGCGTTCATGCATGACGAGGTCTGGCGCGCTTTGCAAGGTTGCCCTAGGGAGGTGGTCGGCAAGCTCTTAGGGGTCAAGCCTCACAAAGCTGAAGGATGGAAGCTGGTGACTGGGAAGGATTGCGACCCGTACTTCGTGGGGTACGTGACCTTTGTCACCACCGAGGCAGCCAAGGTGCTTGAGCAGTCGGGTAAGAACGGGCTGTTCTCCGAGCCGCTGGCCCGCGATCAGGCGGCCCGGCCCATGGTGCAATGGGTCGACCCCGAGGGACTGGTAGGAATTTCCTACTTACGCAAGTGCTTGCAAGCAGCGGCTGGCAAGGCCCTTGCGCTGCGCAAGGGACAAGGCTCCTGCTTAGGCATCCGGGCCAGGAAAGGGGAGGCGGTCAAGGCCGTGAGCACATGGCGAGTGCGGGGCGTGCCGCGCTCCTGGAGCGACGCCGACATCGTGGATGCCTTGCAAGGTGCTGCTTTCCTCAATGTCACTGTGCTCGGCGAGGCACAGGGGAGCCGACCCTGGCTGGTTCGGGCCGAACTGGCCGATGATCGGGGTGAGCTGGCCATGCTCGTGGAGGCCGGCGATAAAACCCTCAGGATAGAGCGCGTGGTGGGCCGCCAAAAGGCCGAGACCTTCCGAGAAAAGCAGTGGCAGCCACCTCGCAAAGGTCAAGGCAAGGCCCAAGGCAAAGGACGGACCGATACTGGCAGCCCCGAGCCGGTGGACAACGCTGAAGCTATGGCCGTTGATGGCGATGAGCAGGAGGAGCCTGGCCAAGCTGATGCTACCAGCGTGGGCCGGGGACCTTCTGCAACCGAAGCGGAAGTCAAGCAGCCGGCCTCGACTGCCGACGAAGCCGCCACCGGTGAAGGCAATGATCGTGGGCCAAAACCCAGCCCAGCACCAAAGCGCCAGCGTGTTGCGCAGTGGGAGGAAATCGAGTGTGGGGCGGCGGGGCACTGTTTCTACAACTGTGTCACCGCGGGCTTCGTCCTCAAGACCACGCGGACCGCCTTTGAGGACATCAAAGATGACTTAAATGCCAAGGGGCGTGGCCTGCGCAGCCGCGTGGCCTCCTACATTCAAGGGCACGAGGAGCGCTTCAAGCCGTTCTTCGAGCCTAGCTGTGTGAGCCCAGACTCGGCCGACCCGGAAGCCGAGGCGGCTCATCTTCTCATAGTTGAGGATGGAACCCCCCCAGCCACATGGCAGCAGTACCTAGAGGCAATCTGGCGGCCTGCCAGATGGGCCGATGAAATCAGTTTTCGGGCCGCTGCTGCCTTGCTGGGAATTTCCTTGCAGCTGGTGTGCGGTAGGTTGGATAAGCCTGACCAGGTGCTTTCCTATGTTAACCCTAAGTCGGCTATCACCCTCTACCTGCGATACTCCCTTGGGCACTACACTCTCCTTCTTCCGAAGGGAGACAAGCTGCCTGACTACATCCGTCAGGAGGCCGTTGCGCAAACTGCCTCTCAGACTTTTGCCCCCCGTGGGGGAGGCAAACGGCAGCAAAGCACTGTGGGCCTTGGCCTTGACGCCATGGACGATTCCTGGATCCCTGCACATGTCTCCTCCGAGGAAGAGGGTGCACCACGGAAACCTGCCACCTCCCCTGACAAGCCAAGGCCAACACCTGCCGGGAGCAGGGGCCAACGTACTCAGCATGCTGGCCCAGCCAAGAGCCAGCCACGGCAACGCAATGATAAAGGCAAGCGCCGGTCCTGCCAACTCGCAAAGCAGCGCAGCCAGCGCATGAAGGGTGTCTCCCTTGCAGTCAGCAAGGCCCGCCAAAAGCACTGCACGGTCGGCCGACGCAAGCAGTGGACCTGCAATGTCTGCGACGTGGTGATCAAAGCAGGCTCCATGAGACAGCTCTCGATAGGCCGATATGGACACATCAAGCGAGTTCATCCGCGAGTGCCGCTCGACCGGTTCACTGACGTCCGGTCGTACATTCCGGTAACGCCGACCGTCTTGGACGTGGACCAGCCTGCCTGGATGTGTGCATGGTGTCACACTTTCTTGCCAAGATTGGACACACCATATGCTTTGAATAAGTCAGCCAAAGCCCATCTTAAGCGCTGTGTCCTCGCTCCTGGTGGGGCCACCCTGTCACAAAACCTCAGGGAAATATTGACGGCGGAAGGCATTGAGCCTCCGGCCCGGGCTGCCGATCTGTGCCAGACCTTTGGGAGGAAGATAGACCTTGAGCAATACAGGCCGGCTGCCAAGGAGCTCAAGGAACTGACTGCAGAGCGCCAGCGGGACACCTCACTGCCAGTGCGCCGCGCCCTGGCGAGCCGGAGCTGCGTCATGGGCGGCAGCCAGCAAGTACAGTGCAAGAAGAGACGGAGCGCTTCCCAGGCGCCAGCCTCAAGCGCCCCCGGCCATTTCCACCACGCCCTGCGGTCTGCGCCGGGGGGAATGGCTCCAGGCAAAGACCTCACCACGGAAGCCGGTCATCGATTTCGTGTGGCGCTCAAGCCCCCGCCTCAGGACGGCGGCTGGGTGCGAGACCTTACGGCCGAGAACATCGAGCCCAACCCCGGGCCATCCACAACTGTCTCTCGAAAGCTGAGTGTGACCACCTGGAATGCACAAGGTCATGGCAACATTTTCGAAGCTTTGGCGGTCATGCTCTTTCGCGGAGCTGACGTGGTCCTGCTGCAAGAGGTCAACCTCTCGGTTGAGAAGCGCAAGGAAATCATCATTGCAGCCTCTGCCAGGGGATATCACTCGTTTTCTCCGAGTCCACGGCCGGCACCGACAGCACGGGTCGGGAACTGCATCGAGGAGGCCTCGCCGTGCTGACAAGGCAAGAGCTACCCGCTCGACAGGTGGGGAATGCAAGGGTCAACGGCGTCTTTGAGACTCTGTGTGTGCGGCTTGGGTGCTTTGGCCTCCTTGTCAACTGCCACCTCAAGCCACGAGGGGATTGGCAGCAGTGCCGGGTTCACTTGGAAGAGCTCCAGCAATCTGAGGACCGTGTGCTGCTTGGGGGCTTCAACCTTCTCCCCACCGAGGTGCAAGTTGCCGGTATGGGCCACCCCACGGCACCCCGCGATAGCCAGGGACACTACAAGCCCACCCGGGTCGACGGGCACCGTTGCATCGACTTCTTCCTCGGCAAGAGTGTTGGCCTAGGCGAGGCCCAGTGTGACTGCGAGACGCTAAGCGATCACTTGCCTGTCAGTGTTGACATCACCGTGCCATGTGAGACACGGGAGCAGCTCCTCCAGCTGCGCCCCACCACCTTTTACGGGTTACCTCGAGAAGCCACTGATGAAGAGTTCACCCAGGGGCAACACGAGTATTGGCAGCAGCAGCCCATGCTACCCGACCTGGGTGACACCGAAGCTGAGTGGCAGTGGTTTTGCCAAACAGCCGAACAAGCCTGCCGGCACGCCACTGCCAAGTACGAGAGCATCCGCGATCCCCCTCACCGCAGGCCCAAAGGATCCGGGTATAGCACCATTGAACGTGCTGCCATAAACCGAGGCGGCTCCGAGGCGCATGCTTTTCAGATGCGTAGGCTGCTCAAGCTGCAGGGGAGGGTACGTGAATGGCAGAGGCAAGCACGCCTCGGCACCGACACCACGGTGCTCAAAACTTGCGTGCGGCGCACTTGGCTGCAGCAGTGCGGCGAGCTCCCTGAGTCCCCTGCTGAGGCGGAACATGCCATCACTGCCAGCATTGCTGAGGTCCAGGCCACTCAAGCCCGAGAAGCCATCCATAGATGGCAGCAAAGATTGGCCTCGCGCGGCAAAGAAGCTACACGTTGGCTTAAAGGCAAAAAGCGCCGCATTACTGGCGTCACCGGCACGGTGCCGGGACAACCTCAGGGTGTGCTCTCGACAGCTGCCAGCCTCGAGCACATCCATGCCTTCTGGAAGAAGATCTGGGAACGACCCGGGGTGCAGCGCAGCCAGGCTCTGCAGGCTTGGCGTAGGCACGGGCTGCATAGACGGTGCGACTTTCAGGCCTCTCAGGTGTGGAAGCCAGAGGCCTTGCAACGTGCCGCTGCCGCCAAAGCTAGTTCGGCTCAGGGCGTTGACGGCTGGAGGGGCGATGAGGTCAAGTATTGGCCCAAAGCCGCGTGGACCGTCTACTCCACTCTCCTGTGTCGCTGGGCCGCTCGAGGGCGGTTTCCCGCGGCTTGGCAGGCCATGCGGCAGGTCCAGGTGCCCAAAGCTGAGGCGAGCGACCTCACAGGTGAGATCGCGGCCAGTGATCTACGGCCGATCGTTGTGATGTCGATCTTGTGGCGAATTGCTTCCTCGACGGTGGCATCCAGCCCCCAGATTCAGGCCTGGCAGCAGGAGGTGCTCACTCCTGAACAATTTGGCGGCGTGCATGGCAGACATATCCACCTCGGCCTTGGCAAGCTCGCTGGCCCACATGCCCGCGGCCTGCCACTCACCAGCCTGGATTATGCTAAGTGCTTCGACTACGTGCACCCACAGCTTGCTTGCGACGTGCTGGTAGAAGCAGGATTCCCGCCAGTTGTAGTCCGGATGCTCAGGCATACCTGGACCCAGACCCGTTACCTCGAGTTGAACGGCTGCACTCAGGTCAGTGGGCACCAGGTCGAGGCCTCGCTTCCCCAAGGCGACGGCCTTGCACCCTTGGCCCTCAACGTGTTGATGTCAGCGCCAAGCCGCCAGATTGCCGACAGGTTTGGGGATAGGCTCCAGCAATGCATCTTCCTCGACGACAGAGCATTTACTACCGAGGCCCGCCTGGTCCCGGAAGTTCTACAAGCTTGGCAGTGGTGGTCGGAACAGTTTGGCCTTCGAGAAAACAACGGCAAACGCGCCATCGTGTGCGCCCGAGGCCTAGCTGCGGATGCATTGCGCAGGGACGGCCTTGGCCAATGGCTCAAGCAACAGACAAGGGTACTGGGCGTGGACTTCACTTCGAGCCCAGCGGTGCCACGCGTCACCAGTGCCAACCGCTTCGCCGAAGCGCTGAGGCTCGGCCGGAAGCTGCTCGCCAGGAGTATTGCTTTGGATGTCCGTCGTGACCTCTGGAGAACGCGAGTGGTGCCATTACCCTGAGGATCCGAGGCCTCGTATATCATGGACTCGGCTAAGTCATCAAAAAAACAAGGACTCGAGTCCGAGTACTCAAAAAAATGTGGACTCGGCTTTTTTGTTATTTGATGTTGGGCCTGGTGGTACACAGCATGTACATATCGTGTT